TTTCAAGGTGACGTCACCTACTATAAATAGCTGCCGTCGCCACCACCCAGCCCGGAAGCCGCGCAGGCGCCTTGTGAATGCTGCAGTTGAAGGCTGCAGAGGTTAAGGTGGGAGAACAGAGAACCACAGTGAAGACAGCGACGCCCAAGGTGAGGAACGTGGTGATGGCGGCAGCCCCATCCTGAAAGCACCACAGAATACGTTAGAGATCTGACTTGAGGAGGACCCCTATATCAAATAAACAGGAGGGACTGAGAGCGCCAGCGGCATGGGAGGCCTGCCCCGCTGCAGCCCGAGTCCTTCAGCTCCACGAGGCCGCACTGCGTGTGGGTCTACGGTGGCGGGGTCGCGTCTAGCCCTGGGGAGGCCCCCCTGCCCTAAGAAGTGGCCTTGGACCAACTGCCTTCCACCAGCAGGGACTGCGTGGCCGGTAGGGACCCCAGACACCTTCTAGGAGCCCACCAGTGCTAGACCTTTAGAAACATTCTAATCCTCTGCCGCCCCCTGGGAGCGCACACGTGGCTGGGCCCCAGTCCCCAAAGCGAAATGTAGAGCAAAATACAAGATAAAGTTAATGACTTGTTTAAGGTTCAGCAGCCTGTAAGCGGAGAGAAACAAATGTGCCGAAAAGAAATATGTGACTGGTCACTAAACCCACCCTAACCCTGGCAGTAGGTGTAGAAGGTCCCTGGGCTCGAGCTCTGAGAAAGGTAGGGAAATCCCAAAGGCAAAAGACGTTGTTCAGACCTGGGCTTCCACAGCACTTGGGAGGCTGAGGCAGGAGGATCACTTGGGGTTAAAGGCCAGCCTAGGCTACATAGCGAGACACTGTCTTGAAAAATAATAGTAATAAGCCATTGCCCAACTGAAGTACAATGAACCAAGGACAACACAGCCATTTGGAGGTACTTGAAGAACTGTTAAAAGACAGAAATGCACATTCTGGAATGTCAGAGTTGACCAGACCCTTAGACTGAATACCCCATATGCTGCATAAAAGAAAACAACTTCAGGAGAAGCCCCATTTGTGCAGTAAGGAACTGGGACTTCTGTACCAGGTCTTCTGCCTCCTGGGCCATCTTCAACCTTCTGTGATACTGAAATGGAGACCTTGTACTAGGCACAGGATGTGTCCTATAGTCCGAACAACTAAAGAGGCTGTGGAAAGAGGATTGTGTGTGGGTAGGTGTTGGAGACTGGCCTGGGCAACATAGCAAGAGCCTGTCTTAAATATTCTTTACAAAAAGGATTTGAGGGCCTGCAGGATAGCTTAAAGCTCAGCAGACTGAAGCATCTGGTTTGGCAAGCTCAGGGACCAGAGCTCAATACCTGGGCCTGCATGGCGCTCTGAGCCAGCCACCAAGTCCAGGCATGGTGAGGCACGCCTGGAATCCCAGCACTGGGGAGGCTGAAAACAGAAGGATCACTATGAATCTGAGCTTCATACTGAGATCCTGTACCAAATACATAAAAAAAAGAAAAAAAAAAAGGATTTGAGTTATGGGCTGGTAGCAGGCCCCCATTGAAGGTTTCACAATGTTTTGAAGAGTCAGTTTGCTGGTGGAATTGAAGTTAACCCAGGGTGATCTTTCTCCAGTGAATGTCTTGAAAGCTGGTACACAATATTTTGTTACCCACCTCACCCTCTAGAATGGCTTTCCAGTGAGGAGAATGAGGACTGGCTCAGGATAAGGGAAGTTCTTGGGCTCCATCCTGCTCTCTCAGCTTTTCAAACCATGTTAGCCTGAGATTGATTTTCAAACAGTGAAAGGTAGCACTGGAGCATTCTGAATAATTGATTTTGTTGTGTGCTATGACTTGAATGTTTGCCCCCAGGAAACATATAAGGAGTTTAGCCCCAGTTCAACAGTGCTAGGAAATAGGTCATAATGGAAAGTGTTTGGGTTGTGAAGCTTCCACTTTCATGAATGGATTGATGCTTGTTATAAAAGAGCTACAGAGACTATCTTGGCCCCTTTTATTTTACTTTCTGCTCTTCCACTTTTTGCTACAGCATGGCACAACCAGAAGGCACTTGTGGGGGCAGAGTAGATGCACTCATCAGAAGCAGGATTTGTGCCCTTAGACTTCCCAGTCGCCAGAACTGTGGAGCAAATAAATTTCTTCTCATCATAAATTTCTCGGTCTGTGGCATTCTGTTATGGTAACACAAAATGACTGACCCAGCATGCAGAAATGACCCCTTGATTCTCACACACAGATCTTCCTTCCTACTTACCAAGCTTTCCGACCTCTACTCCAGCCTTCTGTTCAGTCCTTAGCTCAGGATACTTGGACTGTACCTTACTTCTCCACATAATTAACCCTCGCTGTGGTCAGCGGAGCAGCAGAGGAAAAACATCATAGTTCTCATGTCTGCCTCTTTTTTTTTTTTTTTTTTTTTTTTTTTTTTTTTAGTACTGATGGTTGAACCCAGGACTTCATGCCTGCTAGGCAAGAGTGCTACCCCCCTTTCCCAAACTCCCCCTCCAAATTTGATTGATCAATATTTTCAACTGGAAAGGCTTTAATGCAAAGATTCTCATCATGACAAATGATAACACAGAGTCCTCCTGAGCTGTGACACGTTTGTGCGAGGATAACAGCTATTCAAGAGTCTAAAACAGAAGGATCCCAAAAGACAAACAGGAGTTTGAGCTGGGCCAAGGAACTTAGCAAGACCCTGCCTCAAAATAGGACTGGGGATATATCTTAGAGGTAACACAGGCCCTAGGTTCAGTCTCCAGCCCTAAGGGAGAGCTTCCCTTCCCTTTGCCTGTGAAAGCCCTGGGTTCACTCCCCAATTAAAAAAAAATTATCATACAAGTTATGGTCACCATTAAATTTTTGAAAAAATATCCTTTAACAGTATCCATGTAATAATATTCCCAGTCTTTTCCCCCCATAGTATGTTTTTTTTCCCCCTTAGGACAGGTCTCTAAGTTTGTTATATTGGCTTTGAAATTTGTGATCTTCCTGTCTCATCCTCCTTCATGGTTGGGATTATAGACGTGTACCATTGTATCACCCAACCACTCTTCCTCTGTCTCCAGTGTAGGTTCTAATTTAATATTTCTTAGGGCTCAGTCCCTGGCCCTTGACTCATTCTGCCTTATCCTGAGCAAACCAAACCACACCTACTCTGTGTGTGTGCATGTGTGTGTGTGTGTGTGTGTGTGTGTGTGTGTGTGTTTTACTGTGGATCAAAACCAGAGCTTCACATGTGCTAAGCAAGTATTCTTTCTTTAGCCTCCTTCTTTCCCTCTCATTCTTGAGGGGAAATTACTTTCCTCTGTGTCCTCAATACTAAGTGAAGAACTTTGCAGAGATGGGCATATTTTTCTTCAGAATATTAGAAGAAAAATGAAAGGAGGGCCAGGAAGATAGCTCAGTGGCTTAAGCGCCTGCCTGACAAGGACAAGGTTCTGAGTTCAATCCCTGGTAACAACAACAAAAATCACTTCTGAAAGGAATATATAATTTTTATTTCCATTTTGTAGCTGTGGAAACTGGCACAAAGATATTTCATGGCTTGAACAAAGTCACACAGCCAAGAATCTGCAGAACCAGTACTCAAACTCAAGTCTATTATAGTCCCAAGCCTAATGGCCCCACCCTACCCGGTGGTATAAGCAGAGAAAGACTCAGGGTGTGGCTTCCTTTTTAAGGTCACTTAGGTTGTAAAAAGCCTCCCACTTCTTACTGCCATCCATCTTCTTTGTCCTGAAAAAAGAGCATCCGACTCCTCAAAGCCTATAAAGACCAGCACATTCACCTAAGACAGGTAATTTTCTCCCAGGGTTCTATGTCTCATCAATAAGCATGGGCTTGCACAACTCTCAAGAGACCCCTGAGCAAATGAAGGGGGGCAATGATTAAGATCGAACACACTATGCTGCCCCACTGCTCAGAGCTGGTTCCCAGCCCTGGGGCCAAGCATGCATCTTTGCCTGGCACAGGGCCCCATGAAGCAAACAGAGCAAAAAGCCCTCTGGCTTCCCAAAGATGTAAATTGCTGCAGGTGGTACAGGGAGACAGGACAGATTCTAGACTTGGGTTTGAATCCTGTTCTGCCAGTTTACCAGCTGAGTACCCTTGGGCAACCCACATGTAAAACAGGACTTACCACATCTATGTCTTAGCTTTTTGTGGTGATCAGCAGGTGCGTAAGTGTCCAGTGCTTGCGCAGTAACAGCATAGGAGCAACCCCAGCCATGATAGCTATATAATAACTCCTTGCTTAGCTGGGCACGGTGACACATGCCTGTAATCCCAGTACTGGAGAAGTCTGATAAATCTGACAAGCAAGGGTCATATTACAAAGAAGACCTTGAAAGATGGACTTTTACACTGTTGGCATGGTTACCATCTTGTGCTGGAGAGGTCACTTGCACACAAATTAGTGTCACCCAGATAGGATTTCTTTCCCCCTCAAAGGAAGGGGCTTGCTGCTAAGGTGACTTAACTGATTCCTAACCAAAGATAATAATGCCATCAACAGTAACATGGACAGCAACTTTTGCTTATTAATCATATGCTCCCTTTCTGGCCTGAGAGGAAAGACTTTACCCCCCCCCCCAAAACTATCTCACCAAGTCCCCACTTAGAGGTAGATTGCTATTCCCATTATATACATAAGGAAACTGAGACCTAGATGGGTCAGAGATTTGTAGTCACCCAAGTCTCTCCCATTCACACCTGTTTTCTACCATTTGCTTTAACCTCAGTGTCAAGTTTTGTTGATATCAAATCTTTCCCCTTGTATCTAAGACTGGCCTGAGCACACAGATTTCAGGATCATCCAGAGCCTCCTGTCACTCTTTCAAAGCCTGCGTTGGAAGCAGACTGGCGCCCAAGGCAGCTTGTGGCATTAAGAGGTGTGAAAATGTCCTGGTAGCTGCAATCTGTGAACTAGTAGAGCTCAGAGCTCCATTCACAGCCTCCACCTCCCTCAGGTTGCTCAGAGGAGCTCAGCTCTTCGGGAGAAAGGCAAAGCTGTCACCTATGGAATTACAGTTAAAACAAAGACCAAAAAAAGGATTTTGCTGCCAGCCATTGTGGTGTATACCTGTGATCCCAGCACGCAAGGAAGCTGAGGCAAGAGGATCACCAGGAGTTCAAGGCAAGCCTGGGCTACATAATGAATTCAAGGCCAGCTTGGACTACCTAGCAAGAGATCCTGTCTCAAAAAAAAAGAGGAGGTTGGTTCACTTCTGCAAATAATCAGAGAATTTGTGTTTTTTAGCAAGAATTTTCTAAATCTTTTGGCTTAAATTTCCAGAATAATTTCCTCCAGCCTCTTTCGTGCTTTCCACTGAGAAAGAAAAGGACAGGGCTTGATAATGCTGTTGCTTTTCTTCTAAGAATTTAGTCTTTTTATCTGTGACAGGAAGGCTACACTGGTAGATGACAAGGTA